GTCTGTTCCTTGACGTGGCCTACCTCAAAGGGCTGGCAGCTGCACGTGAGAGCTGTGGGACGCGGGGATAAGAGGTCGGCTTCTTCTGTGTGAGAAGGAAAGCGAGATTAATGGGCATCTGCCCTCCACTCCTGTTGCCTGGAGGGACTCAGTTCTAGGGCTCTTATAGGAGCAGGAAAGAATATTAGATGTTTCTTCAGATCGGGGGCACACTCAAAAGCCCTGAGTGCCTTTTTTTGGTTTTGTTTTGCAAAATTAAGAGTCTCAGTTTCCTCCAAGGGAAAACAGTTCGGCCTCCGGGGCATCAGATGGGCTCTTTCTCACATTTTTTTTCCAGCTGTGCATCATCGTTTAAAAAAAAGAGAAGCGTCAGCTGGACCTTTGCATCACATTCCAAGCACGTCTCCACGAAAAGCCCACCTGAAAATAAAAGCAGTTTAAGTTTTCAACTCCGGCCCTAAGAATCCCTTGCAAGACTCGACCTGAATCACTTACTGCTTGATTTTTAAAACCTGTGAATCTCTGTGAACAAGCAAGCAAGCAAGCAAGCAAGCAAGCAAGCAGAAATGAGGATGAGAAAGACAACAGATGTAGACAGATGCAGAAATGTCACGGAACAAACGTGAAGTGTTTGGTTAACAAAAGTCGACAGGATGCTAACCAAGCAGTGCCTGGTTGTAGAGTCAGGCAGACTTGGCCCAGATTCATCTAGCCTTGACGGTGATCTCCTGCCAACATTTCCCAAGAGAAACTAAAAGATTTTTAGGAAAGGAGTCCTGCTCCATTTGAATTCAGCAAAGAGTCGACATAGGAATGCTCAGCGAATCCAACCTTGATAGTTATTTGGACCAAGCTATTGATTGGAATTGAACAGGTTTTGGAGCACCCCAACTATTACCCTCAACTTTTGGGGTTCAGAAGGTTCAGGATAGAACCCCCTTTTAGAAAAAAGAGGCCACTAGTGGGATTTTGCGGGAAAATATTTTTAAATTCCATTTAGATTGAATACATATCTAAATGTGACTCTTTGTGTAGCTTTTTAAAAAGTGCGGTTCCACGCAAGAAAGAGGATGCAAGAGACCTAATGCGCCCAATCGATGGGAGCCACACAGAGCTTGAAAAAAATCCCTCCCTCCCACTACGCAAAAGGGGCTTTGGGTCTTCTTTGCGTGGGAACTGAAGGAAAAGCCTTGTATGTGTTGAATGCAATCTGTGCGCGAAGGGAGGGGGGAGTGGAAGGTTTTTTGGCCAGCATAATTTTCAAGCTCCACGTATTAATGGTGACCGCCCGAAGCAGCCCTAGGTGGGCGGACAGGCGATGCAAACGCCATTGTTTCCCCCTTAATTTAGTTGGATGTTCTCTCCCATCTCCACGTATTAGAAACAATTAACCAAGTCAAAAGCTGCTTCTGTGGAGCAAGGAAACTCTGGGGAAATGAGGGAGGAGAATTTGGCGCAAGATGGTGACACAACAGGCTTACGTTATGAAACAGTACATCACGTGGAGACACCACGACCCTGGGCGAAGCTTTATATTTCTCACTACGTAGATAACCAACATGTTTAGGACACTTCAAAACCAGCCAAGAGCAACATTTTTTTCCCTTCTGCCCACCAGCAACCAGTGAGAACAGCCAAAGGCCCTTCTGTATCTGCCACGTTCCCCATCCCACAGCTCAGCGTGCTGCGCGAACCCAACTGTAGCACCGTTGCAGGCAGTGGGGAGAGGAGGCCCCGGAACGAAAAAGGCTGAAGCGCATTTGCAGAAACGGCGCCAAGCTGGGCTTTTTAGAGCAGGGTAGAAAGGGAGAAAAGTTGGGGATTTTATCCAAATGATAACATTTATCCATTTCCAAGACATTTTGGCTCGGTCTTTCTACGCACCATCTGCCCTAACGGCAGCCTTTGGTCTCCTGATCTGCCACGGATGGCCACACCAGGGATCGATTGGGGCCATCTGCAAAGCACGGCCTTCTGTCACAGCCCCGAGGGCTCTTTCGAATGGCTAGGCTTTCCACGGCTGGTATCGAGAAGCCTCCCCCTGGCTTTAAAAACGGAGCCTGACCACAACAGTGTAGGGAATATTATGAGAGTCAGCCAGGAATACAAAACTAGACACGCACCTACCCCACACCCCCACACCATGCAGCGGGTTTTGCAGGTAGGTTTTCTCCAGCCACGTTGGGACTTTTTACCATTCTGGCCCAACACGGTGGGAGGAGACTGAATTGGCAGAGCCGGTTCTAAGAGGCTAGCACATATCTAGACCCAGGGACCCCCGAATCCATGCTTCCCTGCTGGTCGGCTGCTCCCCTCTGGCGCTGGAGGCAGGTGCTTTCTCCGCTTCCATTTGCAACCGAGAGAGGGTGGAGCGTGGGTGCCCTGAGGAAACCCGCTTACTTGAAACAGATGCCATGCTGCTATGGGAGTGGCGGGCACAGAAATAGCTTCTTGCTGTGCCCGGCTGGCCGGCTGCATCGCTTTGCTCTGCTAGGCAAATGAGGCACCTGTCTGTGGAGAGGAACAGCAGAGCAGACCACGAGAACCAGACTGCCACCTAACGGTCCCCAGAAAAGACAAGACGTGAGCTTCCCCATCTCTGCTGATCAATGCCAAGTTTCCCAAAAAGCAGAGAATCTCAGCCACAGACTCCATTCTTACGCACGTGACAACCTGCTCTTTCAAAACTGCAACCAAATTAGGGTTTTTAGTAGGAGAAAAGGGTTAAATATTGAGGAGGGGGGACCTGCATTCACAGTTCACATCATTTCGGTTGACACCCTCCAATCAAACATTGCCTAGCTATAGGGGGCAATGACTGTTTTTGAATAATGATGTATAGCATAATTTTCTGCCTTCTGTAAATGAAACCTAGAGATACCTCTGCAGACCCACCTGGAGGGCCCTTTTACGTTCATGTTATCAGCTCTCCCCTAGCAAGTTCCTGCTGTTTGCCCAGCAGGTCATCCTCCTCCTCTTGGCACAGACCCCGTCACAGAAGAGGCCCAGGTTCAAACCCACCACTTCTCAAACATTGAGACCGATCTGAAGGGGACTGCCTAGGGTGTTTATGCTTCGGAACCCCAAAGGTTCCCTTCAAAACCCTCCATGGTGTCTTGCTGGGGGGGGTGAAGTCCCATTCACATCCCCAGGAATTATCTGCTTTCTCATCATTTTAAGGCCAGAATAATGGGGACAGTAGGCCAATCCCTAAAATGAGAGTTTTGAAAGCACCAAGACAGAGTCTGGCTCATTTTATATAACTTTTTTGCACCCTGCAGCCCAAATCCGAGTGTGGGGTGCCTGACCATCCCACAATTCCCAACCGCAGCAACGGTTCGTCCTCTTTAAACACTCAGAACATTGGCCCCCATCTCTTCGCCAAGCCACGTAAAAGCCTTTGCACGCAAGAAAAAAAAAGCTGCATTTGAAACACGTGCAATGCAAACTCTTTTATTCTAGGAACTGGGTCAGGAGTCCCGCAGCAGAGAACTGGGACTAAAAAAAAAACATGTTCAGCGTCAAACGCACAAAGTGTTAATAAATCGAGGGAGAGTGAACTCCTCACTGCTCTAGAAACATGATCCTGGGGAATTCTCCAACAGGAAACATCCAACGGTGAATTAGCCTCTCACTCACTCTCTCTCTCTCTCACACACATACACACACACACACACACAGAGTGCAATTACCCATGAGAAGAACCTTCATTCTGGCATTTT